AAAAAATGTTTTGCTATTGCCAGAAAGGATTTGATGTGTTCAATGCACTAGACTTAATGGAAAACAAAACGTTCCTGGAAAAACTCAAGTTTGGGATTGGAGATGGAAATTTGCAGTATTATTTGTACAACTGGAGGTGTCCCAGCATGGAATCTGAAAAGGTAAGGGAACAAAAAAGAGCTTCTGAATTCTGTTAGGTATAATGCCACATTAATCTACACTGGATGAAATGGGCAGAAGTTTTTAAATAATTTTTTTAATTGGTCATATTTAAGATCATAACTGAGGTGCAGAAGATTAATTATGTTTAATTCAAGTATTGCAATAAATCTAAAATACTATATTTTTCATCTTTCTTTAGGTCGGCCTTGTATTACAATGAGGACACTTATGTTTCTAGAACTCTGAGGTCATCATTTGCGTTAATTTGATCTCCATAACTCTTGGAATGGTATTGTTCAAGAGGAATAAAAGCACAACGTCAGTGATACTGAAATAGTCCATTAAACCTGAAAAATGAAGACATCCATATGTGACCAAATTTATGCATTTTCAGATAGATCAGAAGGCCCATGAAACTCTCTTTTATTGTCCATGAAAAGAATAAAAGCACATGCATTTAAGTTTCAAAGCTTAGCTTGCACCTTGATGAGAAGAAGGTATTTTTTTTTCCACTCTGTAGAAAAGACTGTTTTGTACAAACTGAACTTCAGTGGTGGATTAGGGTACAAAAATATTTGCTATTATGTGGATGAACTGCTGCATTTCTATTTATTAAGTGGTGGTGTATGTTTGTCAGTGTAACAGAATGAAGGATACAAATTCGAGTATCTTTGCTTATTTACTTCACGTGGATATCATCATTTGGGGGAAAATCACGAAGTACGATATGTTTCTAGCTCTATGAAAGTCCTGGATGTTTTTGTAACTGGAGCAGTATGACAATGTACTGGTTTAACTAGTGCATTTGTTTCTCCATAAGCAATGCTGCCAAATCAATAAAAACACAGATTTGTACTTTGATCTTCAATAGATCAGTGGATTGATTTAACAGTATCGCACTGTTCAGTGCAGGTGTTATCTATGTTGCCGGAATGATAATACGTTACTGTACTTAATTTACAGTTGTGGCACAAAACCTTAGTTTTTCCTCAGTAGAATAACATCAGCCTGTGTGTAAAACTAAGAATTTTAGTAGTGCTATCAGGATATTTATAGTTTGAATGTTTTCAACGCTTCTGCAAAATTGCACATATTCCTTTGTCTACTTTGATTTCCTATGAAGTCTGTAATTCTAATGAAAAGTATCTTGTGTAAATATGTATTCATAAATTGTTCCTAGTAGTGTTTTTATCCTGACTTTGGAACATGAGTTTTGCTATATATGTGGCTGTTAAGCAGAAGAGAAATGCTCTACCCTCAGTCCTTGGAAGTCTCTGTACTGTGCTTCCTGAAATGTAGGAGGGCTGATCTTTGTTGTCGGGGGGAGCTGTTTTAATTCCCCCACGAATGCTCGGCAACCAGAGCGGCTTCTGAAGCACTTTATATGCGTTCCAGCGTAGCGCCATAGCTAGATCCGACAGCAGCTCAGCTCACTGAGGCTGCAGTAACGTGAGCGCCGAGGAGAATCTGCAGTAAGAAACTGTTCTAGCTGAAAGTGCCAAATTGTGGTAGTGAAGCCTCTGTGCTGTGAGCATCTTTTGAATGTGACTTGAATATCTCATGAAATGCAAATGTCTAAACTTTCCTTTTAAACATGCCTGTAATTCTGACAGCAAGTCTTGCTGGAAGCTGAATTCTGTACCTGAAAACTGAATTCTGTACCTGAAAACATCAACTATGATGGAGATAAATTTGTCTGTTCTTCCTAACTGCTAGCCCTACTCACCTCCTGATAGCAGTGGGGTTTTTCTTTCTTCTCGCTCCTTTTCCCACATGTGAATGGTCTGTGGTTTGCTTTCTTTTTCTTATTGAATTGTCACCATCTCTCCTCTAGAGACGGTGACAGATAGTTTCCCTTATTGTGTTACAGCTCTGTGCTTCAAGCCTCCTTCAAACCGAGAAAGGGATCGGACGTGGTTTATCTGACCTCTGGGTGTGCACCAGCTTGGGACCTTGTGAATTTAAAAGGGCTTCAGAGGAGATCTTTGACATCTAATGGTGCAGTTGGGCTTTGTAGCTTTGGTGACTCTCATACCTGTCTGCTGGTAGCAGAGGGAGCGTAACTCCCTGCGTGAGGCTTGAGCAGAAATAAGTGCCTGAAAATGTAATCAATGGTAGTGATATCTAAGGTGACAAGAAGGATTTAATCTCAACTCCGTTGAAGACTTAAGTTCTTAATACCCAAAAGGCAGGAATGTGCCTTCTTGGTTGGCCATTCAAAATGGAGCCCACTGGGAGTAGGAGGAGGTCCACCAAGGGGACTCTGTGTTCTGCCGCAGCTCTGAAGGCAGAGCCTTGGGAAATTCTTGCTCAGCTGCTGCCTGACATGGTGGGACATCTCTGTCCTCATGGCTAAGGTGATTCCTTGCTACAAAATCATCATGGCCCACCTCTTCTTAATCTGGGGGGGTGGTCTTGAATGCCAGGTGAAAGATACACTCATGTTCTCTGCCTTCCCTCCCCTCAAAAAACAAAAAAAAAACAAGTCAAGAAATGCTCAACAGTTTTCTTTTCTCCTCTCTTTGAAATCAGAAGGCAAATCCCCAACAGTACTATTGTTTGGAAAAATATGCCCATGAAGAAGACAGACATGAACCTGGGTTTCCTACAACCTGGTTTTTTGCCCTGATCTTGGGATAATGAAGGAAGGAGCATGGCTACTCTTCTGCTGCCTTTGGGGAAAACAGTGCCATTTGCTTATGAACCCCAGGGGTAAATTTCTCTGTCTTGTTTTCTGGCTCACACTACATTATCTGAAGGGAAGGAGGGCAGTCATGCTCCTGCAGAAGTTGTGCGGTGCTGCAGCTGAGAGAAAACCTAGCGGGCCAGAGAGCACCAGGGGAGTGGGCACCTGAGCCTGAGCGTTTGGGCAGTTCCTAGATTGTTCTGTTGGTGAAGCCCTGTGTGTTACCTAACGACTGTGTAATCCAACATGCTCCCTTCTATCCCTCCCGAGTGCTCAAACCTTTAGCCTAGCCGTGCTCTTCACCTCAAGTGCTTTGCTGAGGTATCACAGCATCAAAAGGACATGAGTCTTGAAGGTGTCCCAGCCTGTAGACAGTTACTCAGGAGGTGGAAATTGTGGCACCTCACTCTCGCTTCCTGAGCAGGTACCTAATGGAAGGTTGTTATCCACGTGGCTGCTGCTGTCAGCAGCTCAGGAGAGGCTCTTCTTTTTCGGAAGTTTCTGTGCATTAGGTTTGTTATGAACAGCTTCCAGGTAAGCCTCCTCAAAATCAGATTTGTTTCCCAGTAGTCTTTTGAAGCATCTGCAATTTCTTTCCCAGAGTAATGTCCTGCCTGCTCAGAGGTCACAAATCCCTGAAGAGAGCTATAGAGTTGGGCCGGCAACAAAGTGCTTGGAAGGTGACTGCTGCGCTTCTATGTTCTTCACCAAAGCTAATCCTCATGCTCTGTTCAAAGGCTAAGGTTTAAATGTTAGAGTTAGCCAGCATGGGAGTTAAATACACTAGTGCTAGCATGCCTTCAAAGTTTTATGCATCTAAAAAAGCCAAAACAAAGGACATGTATGATGGATTACAAAGCAAGGCAAAAACCCTCTCACCTTTTCTTGCCACCCTCAGCCAGGGAGGGCAAAACTTTTGGCATTAAATGTCTTAGTCTTGTTTAAACTTCAGGGAACGTCATGACTACAGAATCGTTCCTACTGCCTCCCTTTGTAGTTGGCATCATGGATTAGCGTACTTACTAAATAAATCGTAAAATAGAGATTAGCTATCTGATGGCACTGGAAGTCTGGATTAGCAAATCTCTGAAACCTGCCCTATGTAAATTCCACCTTTAAGGAACAACAAAGCAACTTGGTTAAGGTATTTCACACATTTGTCTACAATACCATACTGACTTTTGCTTAAAATATAAAGCACCAAGTAAATTCCTAGGCTGTTCATTTCGATTGTCTGAATTGCAACACTGTTCCCTTTCCTTCCTACAACTGTCTTGTTAGGAAACTTTGTAGTCCTCAGTAAAACTAAAGGAAAGTCCAAAGTTATGTGGTGTTTTCAGTCTTGTAGCAGTTGTAGCTGTCAGCTACTTTATATACAACAGTATATGGCTTATCTCAATTTCCTGGGAAATAATTTTAGACTCCATTTAGCAGTCCAGTTGAGTTTAGGTTAGTTTACATTTTTCTCACAGGATGTGTGCATATGGAAGTCTTCTTTCAAAATGCAGTAGTAGTAATTTGGGTTTGTTCTGTGTTTGAAAATAAAGCTTTTCCTTCGGTATATTGGACACCAGGTGTTAGATGGAATTCAAGTCTACATACGTTCTTGACCAAAACAAGTTTATTGGTGAGCAGAGCAAACTATGAAAGTTCAAAAGGGAAGTCCGCCTGTGCTGTTACAGCTGTTTACTTGAAACAAGCATTGAACCAGCTTTAAATGAGTTATACTGGCATGGACCTTTGTTTAAATAAACTTTCACTTTTGGTATTGATTTGTTTGAATAATTACACTTGAGTCTGTTTTGCTTGAAGCATGTTCAAATGTGTAAAAATACAAAGTTCACTTAATGCTTTGTTTTAATTCCAAAGATGTACTTACTATGTCTTAAATTGCTTTGGCATGTTCATTACCGATTTTAACTCTGATCTCCAACTGCCAATGAAATATTTACCCCCAGGTAAAGACTCACACCCAAGTTTGAGCAATATTCTTTATTAAAGCAGAAAATCCCTCAGCTGAATGCAACATAAAGTTCACTTTGTATTCAAGAGCTTTATGCTGTAAAGCCTACCAAATAGTTCAGATAAACCTGTATTCCATACTGCAATAAAAAAAATACTAGTTCAATATGAAGAACCGAACTAAAATCAGTTACGCTGAAAAAGCTTTTTTCTTTTTGCGAGGTGGTTTCTTTATCTTGTTTGGATTTGGAACAAGTTTCTTGATTTTCAAAGGCTGCAAAATTACATTTGAAAGATCGAGCTGACTGCTTTCCTTACGCTTACGCTTCTGGCTCGTGAGCTCATTCCCCAGCGCCTCTGCGAGCGGCTTGAGCTCCTCGTTTTCTGAAGAATCTGTCTGGGCCACAGGCTCTTCTGTTCTGTGCTGAAACCATGGCACATCCAAAGCTGGTATCTTTGGAATTATTGCTTCTATTGCTTCGGTAAATTTATCAGATGCTTTTTTAAAGCCCAGTGCTAAAATGGATGTTAAGCCAAGAAGCGGCGCGACTGTTTCGCTGAGACGGGGAACCTGGCCCGCTGGCGTGGCTCGACTCGCGCTCAGCTGAATAAGGTGCGACGTGATCATGGCAGGTTTTGCAGACTTGCACACCAGCAAGAGACGAAGTTCGTTTTTCTCCAAGGCTTTTGTAACTTCGTTAACTCCAATAGCAAGCTGTCTTCTGATACTTATGTCAGTCCATCCTGGTTTTTGTTGCTGGCCTTCTGTTTCCTCTTCTTTAGGGAGTTCATTGACGCTAGTATCACACTGTCCATCCATTTGTTTTTTTGTAAGGGAACGTTTTTTCTTTCTTGAAGTCTCAATCTTTTTAAGTCCAGTATGTTTAATCCTTTCTTCTAAGGTCTGCAGTATAAAATGCATATCTTCTCCATCTATGGTTTTCCATTGAAAAACAAAAGGGTTATCTAGACAAGTTTTTACAGTGATTTTCTTTGCTTTACGAAGTGTTGCCATCCCTTCCTGAATTACAGACATCCTGAGGTTCTCCTGTGTTTTGCCACCCTAGCGGTGAAGAGAAGAAAGAGAGACACATCAGTTCAAATACCATACAGTTCACTCCGGACTTCATTACCAGAAGCTTCTTTTAGGAATGCAGAAGATAAACATTACATCTCGAAGTGATACTAGCAACTACTGCCCTCCTCACATTAGCTCAGTGCTAATCCTTAATGAATCTTCCACAAGGCTCTGGCTGTGCTGCTTTTTTTTTTTTTTTTAATAATAAATAAAACAGCAGGCTTGTACAGCAAGGCAACACCAGTGGCAAGAGACCCTTCTGAAGCTGAACAAAAGCAGCTGGAAGTACTACAGGTTTAAAAAAAATAAAACCACAAGTTGAACCTCTCAATTTTTACTGTTGCACAGCTGCATTGTAGCAGTATTATGACATGAATAAAGACAAACCAAACCCAAACCAGAATCACAACATGAAACAAGCTCCAAGTTCCTGAATTTATTTAGGATTTTTAAAACTTTAATTTGCCGTTTCATTCTTTAATCCACATCTTGTGTTTGTATGCATTTAGAAAGTATGATACCAATCTGTAGACTCTTATTTTATGATTCCAGTGAAGGAAGGCAATCATCTGCAATCCTCCAGAAAGTCCAGAAGGGGTCTTTTACTCCTGCATCCCTAAATCGTGCCTTTAGGCATGAGAAAAATGAAACGGGAGCAGAGGGAGGATAATTGTTCTAGCTCTGACTGTTCGAGTCCAGGGGAGCAGTGAAGACATGAAGGCAGGACTGATTACAGGTCTTGGTAACTTAGCAAGCCCCTATATTCCTGCCTGGGTTACTATTCAGCATCGCCTGGGTTACTATTCAGCATCTCCTTACGAAGCGACTAAATCCTCACTGCTGCAGAGCCAAGCGTGCAGAGGAAGAGCAGCTCCAGTTTCAAATTTCTCTCCCAGGTTTCCTAGTTGCCATATGCCAAACAGGCATTTGGATAGCATTTACGTACATCTCTTGAGTGGCAGACACTCACAAGATACCACTTTGCTAGTCCTACTGCTTCTTTGTGTACTGGCAGTAAGCTACCATGGTATTTAAAAAAAACCAAAATAGACAAACCCCATCTTCACTGAAATTCGCCCAACAGTATGTACTGCCATAAAAAAATCATCTGTCTGAAGGGATCTTCCCTGAGTTAAACCCTTGTCTTGAAAGGCTGCAGGAGAAACGCGCTGGACGGAGGCGTGACAATGCAATGCGAACTGGGAAGCTGTTACCCACGGTTGAGAGCCAGAACCACAGCAGTAGTTTTCAGAGAATGGTAAAATGGAGTAAGTATTCCAAAATGCAACAAAGCACCCTGTCCTTCCCTCTTGTAAGAACCTATGAAAAGCCCTGCAGGGCCACCTGGGTGATGACGGTCCACCCAGCCCAGCTGGCTCCATCCAGCACCGGGAGCTGGAGGAAGCGTTCTGGGAGGGCTGGGCCGGCCCGTTCCTCTCTGTTCCCGAGCACCCGGAACAGTGGCATCAGGGAGGTGAGAGGGAAGATGTAGCAACTGGTTTTATTAGTCCTTTATGGAGCTGCCGCGTGGGCAGTTCTCTCACCCCGTCTGGTGACCATCACTGGGGCCACAGCCAGAAAACAACTGAAAACAACCAGAAAGAACTGACGAGCACAAACGGCCCCTCCGAGTCTCACATGGGACTGACATGGAAGCTTATGATAAGTTTAAGGGAAAAAAACCCAACGAGCTCGGGGTTATCGTTTTTAAAAGCTTTCAATAACGGATGTTCTAATGACCTTTTACAAGGGGGAATCAAAGAAAGTCAGCGAGAGGCCTGTCCATGAGAAAGGAGCAAAACACGCGCGATTTCACCGTTGAAAGGTCACGTTTTTCCTTCCAAAATGGGCACGCACGCAGGGAAACATGCGCGCAGGAAAAGGAAATACAGCAACGGAGAAAAAAATAAAACCAAACCCCAAGAACACGAAGCTCCACCGCTGCC